TTTTTCTCAGCCCAAATAATGAAAATGAGAACATTGTATTTTTTCCTTTGTCCCTTGGTAAGTTTTACTTGCTAGATTTTGCACAACATGAGACCAAATGAGTTGCAAAGGTACTGAACCTTGTCGTGGAAGTTGTGCATACACTTCCACTGGAGCTTGCTTTCATGTAATAACCGTCCAAAAACCTACCATCTAGAGATTCTGTTGAGTATCACATTAAAAAATAAGGATGCCATCTGCTCTGTTGCACCACAAAGTCACCTGGGCAGCACTGGCACAAGGAGAGGGTGAGACCGGAGCGGGATTAACCCCATCCTCTCATGCAGCACGCTGCCATTAGACCAGCTCACCTGTACTGGGATGCTGAGCCCCTGCCCTCTGAAATACAGAACTTCTCTGGAGACTTTTTGTTGTAAAAGCAGAAGGAATTAATAGACATTTTTGTGGGGAAAAAGTATTGTCATGCACCCTGGGACAACTTGTAGAGTTACAGAAACCCCTGCCAATATCATCTGAGGTTTGTTTGCATAACATGCAAAAAGGAAATAAACATTGGCTATCTTAGAAACACTGGGGAAAATCCAGAGTTATATAAATGGGGGAGGAGAGGAAAGAGAATTGTTATGGAAGAAACTGTCTTCCAGCTTCTGAAGAGATATTTAAAAATTTAAGACAGGCATAAGCATGAGGAAATTAGTTTTTAAACACTCAAACATTTCTGAATCTGTCTGGCATTTGGGGTCTGGACTGTTTCCAGGCTTGCTAAGGAAAAGGCAAAGAAAAAGCCAACAAAAATCTTGTGAACTGCCGACAGCATCTCTGAGCATCAGCCACACAGGGCACCACTTAATGCATAGCAGGACAAACTCCGTGTAGTGTGTGGGGAGCAGAGACAGCAGCTGTTTCCTCTAGACGAAACTGTCTCAGAAGGCATATATTCAAGTACAGGGCTCGGAAGAAATCGCTTTGGGAATTGCAAGTGCCTCTGTAATATGCACATAGGTACATAATGATATCAGCACATATGTGCATAAGGGGTTAGGACTTTCCTTAGTGTTAAAGATATTAATGCCATTTGCACTGAAGTCTTCATCAAAGTCTGTGGCGGAACAGAAGATGCTATTTACATGGGAAGCTCTTGATAGATTTATGGTACACAGAGCCTTGTTAGCAATCTCATTCTTTAAATGTTACATTTTTCCTATGTATTTCAAATTCTTTTACTATATTTCTATCTACTTGTAAGTATACAAATATTCTATTTACAAAGCAATATTTGTCTAAAAATAGAGCACACGATTTCTCATTGCCTATTCAGAGTGATGTCTAAACAACTTCTACCTCCAATGCATCCAATTGCCTTCATTTTTGCTACTAATCGTGTTCAGCTGAGTGTCCTGGAGGACAGCATCACAAGAAACACTGCAGCCCTAAGCTTTACCCAGCTGAATGTATCAAAAAAAAAAAAAAAAAAAAAAAAAAAAAAAAAAAAAGACGGTAAAAGCAATTGTGCCATGATGGACAACACAGCTACTGGTTCCCTTTGGAAATGGTTTACCCGTGAAAGCGGTGACTACGATAATAAAGACAGCTACCACAGCAAATGCCAGTCATTGGGTCCTAACTCTGCCCATGCAGCCACTGCATAGCAGGGGAGGTAATTCACTAGCCTGCCTGTAATATTAGCTTACCATTTTGTTGATATATTAACTAGTAGTTCTGTGAGGTATATCACATGCAAGATCTACCATTCCAAAATTTAACACACAAACCCAAGATTCCAGATCCCCCCACATGTCAGAACAACAAAAAATAATGAATGCATCAAATAGGAGAGTGCACGATGTTACATCAAACGTGACTGATGTTCCACACATACAGTGAACAGTACAAAAACCCATTACAAACCCCAAATTGTCACATATGACAGGCATGGCTCAAAAATAAAAAGCAGCAGCACCGATGATTTGCTTCAGAAAGAAATTGCTTGGCAGTAACACCCTACATCTCTGAACACGGATGCAACTAGAGGATTGAAGCACTGAGTTAAGAATAACAGTGTTTTGGACACAATCTCTTCTGGTCATATCCCTTCTAGAAGTTGTTTTTTTTGTTTTGTTTTGTTTTTTAAAAAAAGCTGAACTTTCTATTCTTCTAGAAAAAAAAGCAAAAAGCCAAAAGAACTAAAACAAAATAGATGCCCAATAAAGGAATAAGATCTTTCAGAAAATGATGGTTAGGAAATGCAGTGCTTTAAATTTCCTACGACGTTTTTCAGAAACAATTTGACTGAAGAGGCTCACCAGGAAGCCCGAAGGCACTAGTACAAAGAGTCTGATCCCCTCTGAAGCCCAAAGTTTTAGTCTTACAATTGTTACTAATGCATTTAGAGGCTAAACAGCACCATGCTGTGAAAGTTAATTTGGTAAGATACTCCTAAAGACTCTTCACTGGTTTAACATGGCACTTGGGCTCAAAAAGCAAGTCTGTTCCCTGACAGTCCTTGTCACTCATTCTTACTGCTCCATGCACCTAGGGGTGCCTTCACATGATCACTAAATTAGCACACACCCTCTCACGACCCATCTGGTATTTGGATTCACTGCTGAAGATTTAAGACAGGCATTTGAGAGGAGTCCTCACTGGCAGCACTGAATAGGCTCAAAAGAAACCACAGAGGTGAAGCAGCGGAGCTTTCAAGTGCTGGAATGAAAACTGCTTACTGGTTCATAACCATTAAGCAACAGTAAATGATGCTACATATGCTGCACAAGCCTGTGTCTCTCCCCCATTCGCCCCACTCTTCTGCTACTGATACAAGATGATGCATATGGTAAGCCACTGCTATTAACAGGACTCTTCCGCCCTATACACTGGAAGTCAGAACACTGGTCAAATAAAATATATAGTTAAGGTTTTTTTTTAAAAAAAGTGATGGATAATTAGATGAGAGTGCTTTGACAACATCAAGGCAGACCCTGTATTTGTGGACCTTTCCCCTACCTAATCACTAAGAAAGGAAGCAATTGAAAATGCTGTTGCCTTTACTGAATAAGAAGAGCAGCACAAAGGAAAACCTGAGTATGTGATGGTTGTGTTCAAGTGATTCTCTGTGGGAGCACTACGAAAGGTGTTAGGCTGTTCCCTGTGAGCTCTGTGTGTTCTCTGCAGCTGCCCTGGCTTTCAGTCTACCAAATTAAAAATTGCTAGTACTCTCAAACTTCAGTTTGGCTTTGTTTCTTGCAATACACAGCCGTATTAAAGCACAGCTATTCTTCATGATCAGCTGTTCTGCTACAGAGAGGGTTTTTTTGTTTGGATCACCATAAAATACTGACTGCTCCTCTGCATTGAGAAACTGCTCCATAAAAAACTGAAACCACTACCCATACACTCTGTCCTTGATGTCTTCTGCTTCCAATTAAAAGTATATGGCAGTGCAATCTAAAATTCATCTTAGGAGATAAATACATTAAGCCAAATCTGCACTAGTGAAAAGAAATCTGCTCTAAAAGAGATACTGTGAGAAAGGGTTGCTACTATTAAGATTTAGCCACCTCCCAGCTGTCAAGCACAAAGGGCAGAACTGCTTCTTTTTATGTATTAGTTTAGTGTTCTGAATAATAGGCAGTAACAGATTAGGCATGAAACTTTCACTTGTGGTGATGTCTGGTGACAGATGGACTCCAGCTCTCTGCACTGCCTGTCTGTCCTTTCACTTCCAGCTCTGCTAATTCCAAGACTGAACCTCAAAAGCAGAATCCTATCTGCACTTTCTCTTCTTTCAGGCAGACCTTGCACTCTGTTGGTTCTGCAGACAGATCTATTTTTAGCGTCTTCACATTTCACTCTTCCAGGACGCACACACAGGCAGTTGTTACTGATAATGATTTGGATGCTATTTAGTGTTTTTCCTTTTTGTCAGTTTTGAAATCCCTCTGTATTTTCATTCTATGGTGATGGCAGAAACATACCAATATCTGAAACTGCACCATCTGTTGCTGCGATTAGGTTGAACCTAATGCTCGGTTTTATTTTGATGGCCAGATCATGTGGTTTGAAGACCAAATGTCTGCCAAGCTAGCCATCCTCCTGGTCTGCTTTCACACCTTTACAACTAGCAGCTTAGCCAGTTCAGCCTCCTTATCTGTTTCGGCATCTTGTTTAGAAAATCATTCCCCCATCTTATTTATTCAAAAAACCACCAAGTAGCTAATGAAATTGAAATCTAAAAAAAAAGATTCGGTTAGGACTTGATGGAGACCCACTTTGATCAAGCTCTTTAACGTTTGACTTCTCATCACTGTGTTTTACAGCAACGAACAGGTAAGTTAGAAAGCACTTTCTCCTGTAAGCTAATGAAATTGATGGGTGCTGCAGTCTGACACAGTGAAATGTTGCAATTACAGCTGCCTAGAGGTGCATATGTGAAAACAAGAATTTTCAAAGATGATTGTTCTGAACACTCCTTTAAGCACAGAAATGTACATCATTTAAGCTTTCTTTGCATCACATGTCTGGTAAAGGAGAGGTAGAATTAGCGGCACTAAAACCTCCTTGGGCTTCTCCCTGCCACTGGAGAAATCCCACCTTGTCCTCCCAGGTAGGATTTGTAGAGAAGGTCCTGTTGGGCCTGGAGACACTGGAGAACAGCCAGGCAGCAGGTGGCAAAGCTAATACAATAAAGACCATCCAAAGAGCAATTTGTTCTCAAGGAGCTAGTACTACTACCTCTAATTTCACGTGCCAAACTGCTTAGACAGCTAACGTTAGCAGACAGAGATTTCCCCATGGCTTAGATTACTGTATAGTGCAAAGACTGCTGAACAGTGAGGGCGAATGGAGTACTGTACCACTTTGAAGCAGGAGATCTGGAGCTGAAGCTATGAAATACAAAATGCATTAGTGCAATACATTAGGAAAGACTAACTCCTTAACCAAAGGATAGAAAAAATATAGAGCATTCTATGTTTTTAAAAAAAAAAAAAAAAAGTTTTAAACTTTATGCAGTTCTTGTTGAGGTTTAAATCAGTGTTATACTTTTTTCCCCAAGTTTGTACCCCTGAGTCAAACATTGAATAAACATTGTACAGTAGGTACAGAAACTAGTGTCTAGTTAAAAAGCAACAGATTTGAATGGCCATTGCTTCAGAAGTGTTAAACAATGACAATACCCTTCTGTATGGGAGAAGAAAAAAAATAGCACTCTCATTTGTTCTTAGTTTATAACTAGGTAAAAGATCTCAACAGTTTCCAACCACATTGTTTCCATGTGTTAAGCTGAGGTTTGTGATAAATGAAACCTTCAGTAAGGAAAACTGTTGGGGCTGCATCATTTGAGTATGCATGGTTGAGAACAACTACAACAAAGCAAAGCATTCTTTCCAAGTTATAAGTTGCAGGAGACCATATTAATCTTGGAGCACTATGTGAAGGTAGGCAGAGTTCTTTGACTATGATTATCAGGAGCTCTAAACTCAATCCCCTTATATCCAATATATTTTACTAGAGTAATAACTAAATTACTATAACTTTGGCCTCTCGGCTTCTATTAAAATGGAACATTAACACTTTCACTAACTTAAACATAACATTCAGCTCACTAGAACCTCTGCTGACTGTCTCCAAGAATAATTCATGCCTTTTGCACTTTTCTTCCTCCTGTCTCAACAACATGAGGAATAAGAGCTTATTTGGAAGGCAGGTCCAGGTGCAATGAGGACTCACTGTTAATCATTTGGTTTGTTCTGAAAAAAGTGTGTGAAGGACCACCCTATGTTACTGGGTTTGGGAGAGTCTTCATCATCTTTTGGGGGAAGCAGAAACTGTCGGGAATTAATGGAGCATGGGCTCCCAAAAGATGCATTTTCATTGTTGCTTTCAACTGATCCAGGAGAGTCTGGAGTGTCCATGTTCCAGGCATTTGTGTTTGCTTGAGGTCTGTAACCTGCAGTTTTATCCAATTCTTCCTCTGCAGGTGAGCGACTCTCTATTTTCAGGGCACTGATAGGCAGCTGCATTTGTGGCTTATAGCCTGCTGTAGTCACTAAGTCTATTTCTGGCTCCTCCTCTGGTTTAATTTGAGGCTGATACATTGACTGGATGTCAATGTAAACCACCTGAGATGACCCCACAGGTTCATCCATAGGGGGATTTGAGATCTCCTCTTCAATGATAGGGGGGCAGTAGGACACAACCACATGGTTCTCTGTTTCTGAGTCAGAGCCATCTTCAGGCACAGTGGTGTCTGCTGCTGGGGACATCATCTCTGTGTCTTCAATCTTGGGAGCTGCAGATCGTGTTTCCACCACTTCAACACTATTGGGGGTGCAGGGGTTCATTTCCAGTGTTTTAAGTGTCTTATTCCCCTGAAGTGAGAAAGAGGAGAAAGGGGAGAGACTAAGCCAAAGACCCGGAAATCCCGAAAGCAACAATTTGCCCAAATTAAACCAGTATGTTCGCTTGTGGTTTGCACTCATCCCACTGCCATTAGTACAATATACAAAAAAAAAAAAAAAAAAAAAAAAAACAGTTTCATTCTTTTTCATGGACATCATCAACATAAAGGTCTAAAGAACATATGAAAGTATTAGAAACCATCTAATATTGTCATCTTTTTAATCTTTGTTTCCTGTAAACTAAGGGGTTCAGCATTGTAATTGCTCATTGTAACCTGATAGCTAGAAAACACCCTATTAAATTTAAAATCTGGCTAAGAAAAGGCTTCCTTCAAATACTGCCGAGGGGTGAAATCAACGTCCTGCTGCACCGTATGTGAGGATGGAGAATGCCTGCCAGGCCCTGTTTAACACTCCTCTGCACCATTGCAGCTGCAGAAATGCAGCAGCATGCAGAACGTACAAGGATTTCCCCCGTTTCGGTAGCTGGCACCAGAGCCTGGGCTTAGCCTCGCTGAGTGCCCCACCAAGCAGCTCTGGTCAGAGCTCTGAGGTCAGACTGCAGCGAGCGAGCATAAGTCACATACAGGATCTATAGGCTATATATTATTACTACCCCTCCTCACCCTCTGATAACAAGGACATCACTGTTCAAAAGTTAAAAAAAAAAAAAAAAATCACAGCAAGACCAAAGCAAGATATCAGACTTTTCTTGACAATGATCTGAAGAAGGCACAGCGGTCAAGGGTGTAAGTGCCATCAGCGCTTACAATCTCTATTCGAATCATACAGCACACAGTTGTTTCCTATTTTAGAGGATGAATGAATACCTTCATAAAACGAGCCTAGGAAACAAGTTCTAATGCTAAAGTTGTTTATAGACTGTGTATAATGAAGATCAGATCTGTTTAAAAGAGGAGAAAAGAAAAAAATCAAGGTTGCAGGCTTGGGGTAAAGGGATGTTACAAGGAAAATCAAATCAAAGGTTTTTTGTTTTTCTTTTAAATCAAAGTTGACTATTTATAAGCGACGCTCACTGGGAGACAGGCTCCTGAAAAACCTTTTTGCATTCCTCACTCTGACCTCTCTCTAACTCAATTTCTCCCTCACCTTCTACAATATGTTTTTGCCACCCACCTTTAAACAAAGCCCACTGACATCTTTGGGTACTTGGAGAAAACAAAGAGTAACTAAAATCATGGAAAACTCTAGCACTGAAGCACACATCCAGGAAAAGATCAGAACTGAATGCATTTACCATTCCCTCTTTCGGTAGCAGAAGATGCTCGCCACCACTCCAAGCAGCACAACCACTGCCACAGGGATGAGAATTGCAATGATTAATCCTACAGCTGGGGGATGAAAAAAGAAAAGACAGCAAATAAATATCCACAGTTACCAGCAAGTTTTATGCCTTTTCTAACATTCGCGCAGATTAGAGACCGTTTCATCAAAGTCATCTAACAGTGGTCTGCAAACAGGGACACTGAAGTGTACGTATACCACACGCTTACCCTTTGCTGGAAGGGCAAAAGTCCATCCATAAACAAAGCTGATTCAGTGATGACTACAGGAATCAGCAGATACTTCTCTCTGCTTAATTGCAAAAGGCTTCATGTGCAACGCAAGACTGATTGCCACTGTAATTTCTGTTCTCAGTAAGCACTGGAATTGCACTTTCCAGTTACTTGAACTGGCCAAATCTCTGGTAATGGCTCTTACAGGCCAACAACTCATTGCACAAACTGCACTGCCTTTTATATGGTTCACGATGCTTCTAATCCCCAGCATTTAGCTCTGATACATTCTCGCTGCCCTTCCTCCATTGATGTTAAGTGCCTCAAGTTTGACTTTTCATCTATTTTAGTTGCACTCTAGTGTTTAGTCTTTCATATGAATACTTTCTTTTCTTTTTTTCCCCTCATTCCCCAAAGTCAATCTCTTTTTTTCTAACTGTCTTTCTGGGTTTGTTTCTGTCAGGGGATCGATAAAACTGAATTCAAAGCAGAGGGGCATCTGTTTGTAATTCTGAAACTAGTAAATATTTCCACAGTGTCTTTCTTATTCCATGCATTAGCAGATATTCATCATGGGAAACTTGACAAAAACAACTAGCTGCTTGAGAAGACTAAGTTCAGACTCCACCACATTTAGTAGTAGTTTAGAAGTTATTTATCTTGCATACGTTACCGTAGCTGTAATAGGAAAGGAATTTTTCCTCACCCTGAACTGTACCAATTTCTGTATTCAAATATAAATAAATAAATAAATTAAAAATTAGACTGTAGGCCCAAACTACCTAAGGGGACGAGAAAAAAACCAAAATAAGCTCAGCTTTATATACATTGTACAGCCCCTATGCTGAAGACTATGAATGAACAAGGATATTCAACTTACAGTCCTCCTTTGTCACCACATAGAGGCTGTTTGGAGGGCTCAACCCACCAGCAGTGTAGGCTTGTAGGTCCAGCTGGTAACTTGTTTTGCCTTGAAGATCAAGTATTTTCAAAGACTTCTTTGTTAAGTCAGTGATATTCTTAACTTTAAGTTCTGGATTCCCTGTTTGGAAGCGGTAAGAAAAGCATAACCTTGTAAGAAAGCATTCCCAAAGACATCCTCAGCTTTACCAAGACTTTCTTGAAGTCACCATATGAAACCTGAAGAACAGTCTGCATAAAGGAAAACTGAAATAAAGAATCCTAGCAATGATGCCTGCTTACACAGCACCAAACAGCACAGGAGTGAAAATTTTGTTGCTGCAGATTGACTTCAGTTTCTTATACTCCTGCTTGTCTTCTTACGTTAATGTGAGTCAGGCTTCACTTCTGTACAGAGATGTCCTTACAAGATGGGTGCTAGAAGAATATACCCAATTAAATACAGCCACATAACCTCCACCGTGTCTCATCTACCCGAGGTATCTGTACACAGGGCAGTGTGTCACATTGCCACTTAGTCACTGCATAGCTTTATGGCCTCAGTGAGCCAGGGTTTTCTCCGACTTTTGCCTGATATTAAAAAACAACTGTGCTAACCACGCAAGTAGCTGATTATTTCAAATGCTTTTGTCACAGATCAGGGGCCAATTATGCCAGTGAGTAATGCAACTGAATTATGATTAAAGTATCTTTTTTTAAAGTAAAAGTAAATTATTTAAAAAAAAAAAAAAAAGAGAGAGAAAAAAGCCTGAGCGAGGAAGTTGCAATCTATAGATTTCATTTACCTGATTCCGAAAGCCTAGGCTTTAAAGCATCTTTTTCGCCTTTTGCAAAGGAAAGCCGATATCCCTCTAAAAACCCCTGACAATCTTCAATAGGAATGTCTTCCCATTTTACCAATATAGAATCTGAAGAAGTTTCTTCTACAGTAAAATTTGGTGCACGTTTTGGAGCTGTAGGGAGAATTATGAAGGAAAAAGCTAGTAAGAAACCACCTTATCATTAAATGCTGAATCCATGTAAGTGTTTCATCAATTTTATTTCAGGGCTAGCATTTTCAACTTTTTCCTGAATACTTTTGCCTCATTCTCAAGAACATGTGAAAAGACTTAGCAGGTGATACTACAAAAATACAAGTATGTCGGTCTCGTTGTTATTAATTACTGCAGTATTATCTACTAACAGAAGCTGAAAGAAAAACCTCTCCTTGGGCAGCCTTCTTACAGACCCATACATGTAAATACCCTTCTTCCTGCAACAAATCCCAGAAGATTGCATAAACATTCAGCGCATACAAATTACTTAGCTTTTAAAGGCTTTAACTCTGTGACTTCATAACTTGTCTTCAAATTAAACAAACTCCACATTCCTACCATGGAAATCTATCTCAGCTTAAAATAACTACTCTTAGCAGGCATCACAAGTCCTTATTCCAATACCTGTACAGCACTAAAGTGTTACATCAGACATCGTGTAAAGTTATGCACATCAGGACTTAGTCTAACATTTGGCATTGATCTATCAGTGCTGAACTCATGTTTAAGAACGCATCTATTTTTGTCTTGATGGTTATCTGTCCAAAGGCAAAGTTGAAGTTTTGGAATGAATCTATGCTCTTGTGCAAAGTTAATACATTTCTCAGTTCCTAATAAGTTTCTTCTGCATGTTCGATGCATTTTTAGACCCCAAAGTCTTTAACCTTTTACCTTGAAAGCTTCCAATCTGTTGAGAACACATTTCTGGGAAACTGTTCAGGATTCTTGCAGAAATACAAATGACTGAAAGTTGAGTTTCTAGTAAAATTGCCTTAACCTCACCTTCAACCTTAGCAATGAAATAAGCACCAGCATTTCCAACGGCTCAGATTATGTCAGCAGCTCAGTTTTCCAAGCAAACTATTTTAGCAGGAAACACATTAAACTTCAAAGTTAAATGGGTGCTGTACTTACAATCCAATACAGTTGTGATGTAAAAGGGTAAAGCTATGTTCAGATTCCTGGGAACAGAAAGCATTCAGACACAAATCCATCTCCAGGCAAGCAAAGCTCAGCCCTGGATCAAACCACAGTTACCCAGATGGGCTTGGTATGGGAGGGAATAAAAGTGCAGTTCTAAAGTGGCTTGTACGCTAGGATCTAGTTCTGGTCTAAGAAGTGCTTTTAAACAGAAATGTTGCGGACACTTTTTGTATTTGCTGAGCTGTACCAAATGTGCTCAGAACTTTACTTTCACTTGACAAATCAAAAAAAAGTTGTCTCCTTTCCTGCAGAAGTGACTCCATTCCTGTGGTTCAAATTATGCCTGTGCTTTCCACTCTGAAGACCGCTGCCTTCAGAGTAAACTTCTATGACACCTTGTGCCACCACACAAGCTGGAGAACACAGGGTTATTGCATGCTGGGAACTGGAAGTGGCTAGAGAAATGTATTACCATTATATACAGAGAATGAGCAGAAGTCAGTAGTACTGTGTGGGGATTCTGGTCTCACTGAGCTAAAAATAGACACAGTTTAAATTCACTTTGTAAAGATCCTGAACGATAAAGTGCACTTACGCAGCTCTTTCATATACCCAGTTATGTTTTTCAATAGCTGATATCCACTGGATTTGCAGCCATATAGTGAAAAGTTGTATCTCACACCAGGTCTAAACAGAGCTGCAAGAGAAAATTGCTGTAAGAATATTTCACTTGTAAAGAGTGATGCTTTTAGCTTTCACATGATGCAGACTTATATAAATACGTATTAAAAAAATCACAAAATCTTAGACCACAGTGTTAGGTATAAATACTATCCTTACTTGTAATTCCTACAAAAGCCATGCCATCAGATGCGGTTTAGAAGTAGTAAGCAAATCTAGCTCCTGGAGAAATTTGGTTCTAAACAAATAGGATTCAAAACAAGCTACTCAAATTGCATAAATTGTTCTTTCCATGGGGAAACACAAACTGAAGTTACCAGAAACAATCCCCTTCCTTTCCTCCCACAGCAGCCATGCAGATCCTGCCTCCTCCTCAGAAATACAAATGCATTTGAAATACCCAGGCTTATTACAGCAACTGTACAAAAGAAATTAACAGAACTCTCAAAAGTGATAGTGAAGCACTTTAGCAATGAACTCCAGGCCTGAACTGACTCTACAAAACACAAATAGTCATCAAATTTTCATTTCATATGTCTCTGATGGAGGCATAGGTGTTTGATACTACAATGTGTAAATAATTTACTACCTCCTGTGATCTTCTCAAGTCAGGGGTGTACACTACTTTCAAGCTTTTTTCTAAACAAGATGTCACTGTGAACCTCTACAGAAGTCAAGTGGGTTTTGCAAAAGTTCAGGTCCAGCCTGAGAGATTCTCCTGGTAGGACTAAGCGCAGAGGTGAGTTTGCCAGCCTGAGCCCAGCCCTAGCAGCCTGGTAACTCCCACAACATGCTGCAAGAAGCATGCCACGAAAGAGCTCAGGAGTGGAGCAGGGCATCGTTGGACAGACATAGTATTGTCTGCTTAGAAAAAGCAAGCTCTAGCCAGCACAAATGAAAACAACTTGGACACAGCGTTGTAATTACAGGCAGGAAAACATATTGCCCCCCCTCCCAGGTCCCACTCCCCCAACTTTCTTGTGTACACAGCTCCAAGTTCTTTTCCCTGATGGAGACTTTATATACTAAACTCTTCTATGCAGCCTTTTAGACAGCAGAGAAAAATCCTATATCTTTCTTGGGTCCTCTCTTTCCTCTTCTGCTTCTACTAGTCCCACCACAGCTGAGTTTCATTTCCCTGATCTGCCCACCAGCACCTAGAGACCTGGAACGTGCCCTATTCCAGGAGACTTCAATTGCTGACAGCAAGCCAACACACAGAGATCACACTTAAAAAAAAAATCTACCTCAAGTAAAACCAACAGATTAGTCTTCCCCCCCCATCCTGAGCAGTGCTGTTTATGTTTAGAATCCAAATAAAACCCCAAACCCTAGATTAACCATTATGCATTAGGCTGAGTTAGAAAGTTGTTGGGTGTAGCTAGAAGAGGTAATTTCAAAACAGTTAATAAACATAGGATGATAACAGTTAAGTAAAGACTGATATTTGGATTTGGCAAGGCTGTGTAAGAAATTAAAATAAACACAGTACCAAGAAGGGGTTCATTTATATACACAAGCACACAGCAATGCAACAATCCTCAATCTATAGCATTGGTGCTGTTCTCATTCCACTCGATGCTCAGGCTCTCAACCAGAAAGACTCACAAAAAACAATTTCTGACTTACCAGATTTTATCACTGCATCTGTTGTATTTGGAGGAAATTTCTGCCAGTCCACACTACAGGGTTCAGACCCAGATGAATGACACCATTTTACTATGTAGCCACAGGTCATGTTGGGGTAAGAATTCCAAGAAATATAAATTCCATTCCCCATTGCCACAGCCCAATCTGTTTTGACATTGTCTGCAACAAAGACGACACAAAAATCCATCAGAGAACAGACACTTATCTGTAGTCCAAGCTGGAAGAAAGACTTCCAGCCACAGCACAAAGGTTTTATAAACTGCAGTAATTTCTAAGAATGAGAGACGCACTCCTGGTACTGTGAAATTTGAAGTGGTGCACTCTGTGCTTTCTGAAGTGCTGGAAATCAGATGTAGCCTGCAGCAAATCCCTCAGCCAGCCTTAAGTATGATGATGAGAAGTGCTGCAGTTCAGGACTGGCTAAAAAGCACTTTTTCAAGGTAAGGATTTACAGAAGATGTCAGGTTCAAATCTGACTTGACACCAATTTGGCAGGAGCCTCCAGCTATAAATTCCTG